CCCCAAAACCCCAAAACCCCAAAACCCCAAAACCCCGGTTTCAATTTCAAGAATTGAAAGATTCCTGGTTTGTGCTGTATAGTTAGTGCTTCTTCTTGATCTTGATGTCGAGCTTGTAATTGGAATCTAACCCAAATCTCACTTTTGGATTGCTCAACATTTCTGGCTTGATAGAGTAATCAAACTTGGAGATTAGGAAGGAGAGGTACACCTTCATCTCTGTTAATGCAAATGACATACCAGGACAAGATCTCTTTCCAGTAGAGAAAGGGATAAATGCTAATGGATCCCTGACGTCATCTTTACCGTTATTTTATCAAGATTACCTGTTCCGGGCTTTAGGAAATATTCACTGGTGGGATCGAATCTCTCTGGGATAAACTTAGTAGGCTCATGCCATTGGTCTGAATTATAGTGACATCCAACTAAATCACAATGACTCTGTAACTTCTTACCAACATTGATCATCATTTTGATTTTTGAAGGAATTTTCACTCCACAAATCTCAACCTCTTCATAAGTCATATAGGGTGAAGTATTCATTGAAGGTGGGTCCATTCTTAAGGACTCTTTTATTACATATGTAAGATAATCTCACTCTGAAAGCATTGCAGTAGTCAATGATTTATCATTAATTGCTGATGTTATTCCACAAATCTTGAGCTCTTCAACTAGCTTCTCCTGAACTTGAGGATTTTGTTTGAGCCTAAAAAGACAGCTCACCAGGCCAATATCCAAGGTATAATTAGCTGCATCGATTACATTAAGGTAGTCATTGACAACCTGCTCTTCTGTAATTTGAGGGAACTTGTGATGAAATCCATCCTATTTATCTGATTCAAGCCAACTTACTTTTAAGATGCCTAAATTAACCAATTAAAACTGAGTTAAATTTTACAAAAGATACCTTTAAATTTCAAATAGTTTGATAAGAACTTTAGTATTTCTTGAATATTCTTTTTATCTCTCTTATAAGGTTTCCCCAAACTCTTTTCATTGACCATTGGGAAGTGATGAGACATTGGATTTTCGTAACTGTTGTCTATATCATCAGAAGTATAAAGAATCGCTTCAGGAAGATCCATTTTCTTTATCTTGTTCTTTTTATTAATGTATGGACATTTTCCAGATTCTTCAAAGAAATCAGAACCAAAGAGTGCCATACAAAGGATCTCTATGGATAAATCATTAAGAAATTCAGTGATATCAACAGTTTTGCCAGATTTCCACTTCCTTGATCCATATTTGATTTCTTCAAGCATCATTTTAATATGATCATTGGGTCTTTTTATAGGTGTGTGCTTGGTAGCAGCTTCTCTCCGAATTTTCCATTCTTTTGAAGTCCTTTGCTAAGAAAATTATACAGTCATTACCTTCTCGAAAGAATAGGCTGAGAGCTTGCCAAAGTTCAGTTTCTCATAATCAGACCGATCTATCTTCTTAGGAGTAAGAGCGATCATCTCCCTGATTGCTCTGGGAGAGTACACATGGAGCCAGATGTCAGAATAGAAGAACTCAAGCTTGAAGTCTAATCTTGGGTTCTCAAGGATTGTATCTACATGAATTTGGATTTCAGTCCCTTCATCTTCGTAATTCTCTTCCAAGTCTATATTTAGTCATTAGTTTACAACTTTTAATCACATCCTTCAGAAGCCTACCATGATCTCCATAAATAAGATCGAAATCTTCACTAACTGCTACATTCTTGTACTGCTTGAACCACTTCCTCATCATGTAAGGGTAATAAAGCTTCATAGCTACGAGCAACCACACTTTAGGACAATACTTGCAAATAACAATAATCTGCCTCAATTTTTCCATTTTAATAATAATTAAAATTCCTCCAATTATATGAGGATAAATAGGGGTTTTGGGGTTTTGGGGTTTTGGGGTTTTGGGG